CGTTAAACATAGGATTTGGACCGTGCACCGCAGGCTGGGCTTCGTGGTTTGAAGAGCAAGCAATAAATGGCCGACACCTGGTTGCATCTTAAACGAGCCACCAGCGATCAGCCTTCTCCAACGCAGTTGTTGCCGGAATCACCGCTGAAATGCGAATGAGTTTCAACTTCTGTCTAGCAGTCATTGGTCTCCGAAAGCCTGTATATGTCAGTTTCACCGGGCTAGATGACTTATTGTCCCGCATAAGGGCTATATGGTCACCAATATAGCAAGCTATTACCATGGCCGTTGAAATGTGAGCATATGTGACTTTAAGCAGATACGGAAGTGATCGATTCAGCGAGTAGTAGACGAGTCTCGTGACGGCAAGCTTTAGACCAACGGATTACCCAGGCAGTAAAATGCTTAGCAATGCAGGCCACGGACACAGCATCGATTCCCATCCCGACTGGAATACGTTAGGTATCCGAAACAATGCAAATGAAACTATTTCCAAACATGCAGCCACAGCACTTATCAAGAAGGAGCCAGGCACCTGAGCGGACCAAGGCCGACCAGCACCACATTGGCATCGCCGATTTCACAAGCGCCGGGAGCGGTGGATGGGGTTGCTCGTGTCCCTGCAGAGCCCGCACCCAGCGCGGCAAATCACCTGCAGCTGGGGTGTGTCAGGGTGCGCGGGCCGGCGGCTGGACCAGCGGCGCCGGCGCGGCGGCCCGCCACGTGAGCCGTGACGGCCGGCTCGCCTGTAATGGGTCCGTCGCCAGCGGGCGCGCGTCAGCGGCAGCGCGACGGAGAGACGCGCCGCGGCAGAGCGGAGCTGTGCAGTGGTCTGAGACGGGGCACCGCCGCCACCGCCGCCGACGGCGGCGGCGGCGGCGGCGGCGGCGGCGGCGGCCCGATCCGGGGAGGTGTCGACCGGCAGCATCAGCGGAGGCGGCGGCGGCGCAGGCGGAGGCGGACGTCGGCCGGCAGCATCAGCGGAGGCAGCGGCAAGATCAGCGGAGGCGGTGGCGGCGCAGGCGGAGGCGGACGTCGGCGGCTGGCAGCATCAGCGGAGGGAGCGGAGGCCGAGGCGAAAGTGTGCGACGTTTCCGACAGTGCGTCGGGTTCGACCGGCCGGCAGCTGTATTCATTAGCTGCAACTCCGGCCGGTAACAGCGCACCTCCGCGGACGCCAGATCTGATCTGCAGATCAGTGCCGGATCACACAGCCCCGGCGCGGCCCAGCGCGGCCGCGCTGGACTGGCGGCTGCAGCGCCGCCGGGTCGGCGCGAGGTTCCCACGCGCCCAGAGACCCGTTGGGGTCCACGCCGGAGCTGAGATGCGAGTCAGCACGGCCGAGTGGCCTGCACCCTGGCTGCAGAGAGGCGCGCGGACCCCCCGGAGCAGCCTCGCTCCACCGCGCGGCGGCCGCTCGCCCGGTCCGTGTTGGTAATGGTGCGCGCGGCGCAGGCTCCTGCAGCTAGTGACAGCAGCGATGTCCGCAAATGACGCGACGCTGTCGGCACGACCGTGGCGCAAGAGGCCGCACACACTGCGCGTGGCGGTGGCACGTGCGACGATCTCGCGCGCCGCGGTCGGATCGGAACGCGGCTGCTGTCAGGAAGAACAGCAATGGATGCGGCAGCCACCTCTGTAATGCAGGCGTATTTTTCAATGCCGAGTCAGCGGACTGTACATGTGAGGCTTCCAAACATTCGGCAATGTCTTCGTGGCATGTGGATGAATAAAATACAAGCGTAGGTGACAGATAGTGGTTATATTTCCGCCTTGGCATTTGTTAGCTATTGAAATGCAGAATTTCGAAGCAAGAATTCGACGCATCTCGTGCATTTTGTTGGTGGATTAGCAATGCTGGTAGGCTACCGCAGTGCATGCATCATGAAGCCCGACACTTCAACAAAATAACCGCCACGTTCTCGAACTGCCAGGATCGTGACAAATCCTCAGCTGATGTCACCACGATGGTCGCTGGTGCTCCTTCGGCTCCTGTGTGTGCCGGGCTGACTGGCAGACGGATCCTCGAGCGACGGAAGGGCCCTGCAGAGCGATGCAAAGTCGCGGTTCGGACGTCCCGGAGGACCGTAGGACGTCCCGGAGGACCGGGGAACGTCCCGGAGGACCGGAAGACATCCCAGAGGATCGGAGAACGTCCCGGAAAGCCAGAGGACGTCCTGGAGGACTGGAGGACGTCCCGGAGGACCGGAGGACGTCCCGGAAGACCGGAGGACGTCCCGGAGGATCGGAGGACGTCCCGGAGGACCAGAGAACGTCCCGGAGGGCCGGAGGCGACGAGACCGTGAACGGACAGCGAGCGAGCGAGCCTCCCAGGCCACGGCGTCACGTGCCAGGGCCCAGACTCACCGATCTCGTCCCCAGGCCCACCCCGCTGGTGACCGGCAGGTGGTCAGCGAGTGAGTAACCGCGCGTGAATCAGCCCTCAGCGCCGCTGCCGGCCGCCGCTGGCGGAAGCTGGACAGGTTCGCCGCGCGCGACCGGTTCTCAGCACGCAGCGCGCGCGGAGAGAGGCCCGATCGGCTCGCCGCTCCCGTGAGCCATCGATTTCTAGAGCTAAGCCAAGGCTCCGTGGAAAGCGGTCTCGGTGCCCGTCCCCACTGACCGCATTGTGTCGGGAGACCGTGGGAACGGCGCGACGCCGAGGAATGTACGGTTTCCATCGGTCACCACTTTCTTACTGTTCAGCCCATTTCTGACAAGGGCGCCGGGGTGTAGCGCCGGGAAAGCAGAAAATCTGCAGCCGGATAGTTAAAAAGTCAGCGGGAATGTAGCGCTCAGAATCACGAGCAGTGAACACGTAGGAGCTAGACAAGCGCAGCTGCCGGTGCTGCTGCACCACCTTCTTTGCTGTCAAACACGACTGCTTTGGGTGTGGTGATTTGTGTTGCTGGCCATTATTACATACATTTAGACATGTATTAGTAGCTTTACGCTAGTGATAACCAACATCGTTTTCAACACTACCTACATAGCTATATTTCGTTATTGTCAGTTCATCGAGATATCAACCATCATCAGCATATCAGTGATGGCCACGAAATCACAGTGTATATCTATATAGCTATCGGTATGTTTGTTTCGGTATGGTGGACATAGGGCTACTAACACGTCTCCCAGTGAAACACAGTTGTGCCACATGTATTTTTCGCCATTGAAAAATGGTTCACTATAAGAGATACCTTTCAGTGGTGATTGTCAGCATTGGTTTGGTTAATTGAAATGTAAGCAGGTCTGGCCACTGTCTCACCTACCATAGCACATTTTCCGCCGCTGCTGTCTGAGCCGCTGCCGTCTTCCGGTGCCTGGTGGCCCGCACCCGCGCAGTACGGTACAAAGGCAACCGAGCTCAGGCAAGAACATCAAAATTCAGAGGCAGATCGCGCTTGGAATACTTGTACAGATTGGGGAGCCCTCGTAATCCTATGGTTGCAGGCAATAAGCCGGATTAATACATTTAACAAGCGGCGGTCGCACTCATAACTATATTCCTAGGCTCCTTAACCGTCTAACTGATCCGCTTAAACCGGCAAACCCCATAATATCTTTAAATCAACCTTTGAAATCATTGTCGCATGACAAACACCAACATTCCTTGCAAACTCGAGCTAGAACAATGAAAACCGAAACATCTGATTTGTGATCGGCTAGCTTTTCCGATCCATTCAATTGTGAGAACGTTAAACACCGTATTCGGCTCTTCGCTACTGGCGACTCTAGCTAAGGCGACACAGCCAGCCCACACACAGATACCTGGGTCTGCAAGCTGCGGTGCACAGACTGATGTGGATGTTGCATGACGGCGATTTAACAGGTGCAGATACAGCCAACTCGCAGGTAAAGGTACAGAAGGCTTGTGGTGGACTCCGGGAAGGTCATAAGGGAGGTCAAAGGTCATAAAGAAGGTTGAAGGTCATAAAAAGGTCAAAGGCCACAAGGCATGTCATAAAATAAAACATAAACGGCGATGACCGCAAAATTACGAACACTTTCACAGAAAGTCGTTGATCTGGGTATCAGTGCGGCCTATTAGCCAAATCACCACGCAGCATGTCCCTTTCGTGGTCGCTCATGTCTCATGATGCGGGTGTTGTTTATCTGTCCATTCAGCAAACAAATTATTAACTTTAACCGAAACATATTGTTTATCTGTACATCCAGCAAACAAAATACTAACATTAACCGAAACAACTTAACAGTTTAAAAAGTAAACCACACTTGAAATGCCTGATATCCATGGATTCTAGCAACGAGCACCATTCATTCACAGGAAATTTCCTCAGTCAAGTCAAGCTGCTCATTATGATTACGCCGCATTACGGTGGACAAAATGTCCTGCGCAGGCGCTATGCTTGGAATGTCTCGTGACAAGCCACTGAGCTGGCGTAAAATCGGCGCTCCATGTTTCTCGTCATGCCAGAGTTGCTGACGCCCGGGTGGCTTCTGAAGGCGGTCACTAATAGCTTCCGGCCACAACGCATGAGATGCCGACGCTGAACCAAGAGCAGCCATCACTGGAGTGGCCACGGCAGCCGCCGAGACGAAAGCCCACGGCAAAACCTCGGTCAATGACTTGGCAAAGGTGGACCAATCTCGACCACGCTTTATGCGAGTCTGTCATCAGCCAACAAGTCCACCTATTCATGTGGTGCGTTATTCAGTTCTGTGGCGTGCGGTTTTCATTGAGAATTGTCGTGCTTGTGTCACTCCTTGACAGGTCGATGAAGCCCGCAGTCGGAGTATGGAAGTGCCGATCAGTGTTTATGGCAACGCGCCAGCCACCGTCCAGGACACTCGGTTGAACCCAGCCGATGCATATCCAAGGTGGCATTCAACCGCGCTCGGTAACCCGATCCCATTTAGGGAATGGGCGGTGGCCATAGATGCCTACTGATGGAATATCTGAGCTCGTTGTTTCAATTTTATTCTGTCACCGATGTTAGATACCGGTCTGTTGAAACAAGTGGACGAAGAGCGCTCACCTCGAATTGAGTTCCGTCTCGTCCTGCGTCATCTGACCCAAACTCAGGTCAAAGTCGAGCGGAAACCGCAAGCCCAGCGGAGCCATGTCAGCGTGTGTGCTCTTGATAGTCATGTCACCGTCGCCATCGCAATCTTGCATAGTTCCTGAAAAGGAGAGGGCGGACCGTGAGTTCGCGTCCCCCGCGACCCGGCGACGCCTGCTCGTGCCGCAAACGAGCAGGTCACACCGCCGAGCCGCCGCCATATCCGGCACACGACCCGTCACAGGGGGCAGCCGTGCCGATCGCGGCGCGCGCCTCCGCCTGTGCAGTGTTGCATACCTCCCAAAACGGGAGGCGGCCGGAGCGGCGTCTCCCCACACGGAGACGCTCGTGACTCCGCCCCGCGCGCGCCGGCGCCATTTGCATGCCGAGAAAAGTTCGCCTGACCGCACCGAGCGGCGTCGGCTTGTGCGGCCGCCGTCGGTCGGGATGGGGCGTCGCTGCAGTGCACAGCGGTTTGAGGAAACTCGATCCACCACACACGGTGGATCGAGGAAAGCGTGCGGACACTCGGTCCGGGGTCATGAGTCGCGCGCCGGCCGGCTGCCTATCTCGTGGTGTCAAACATGGCCGTCAGGCGACTCCCACTAACGCTGGCGGCGGTCGCCGACGGCGAAGCACGTCGGGCTGGGCGAAACGGGCGTCTGTCACGACAGTCGGACGGGGGGGGGGGGGGGGGGGGTCGAACGGGTCGACTGGCGGTCGTGTAGATGGACAGTCGGGTGGACAGATGGGCAGACGTACGTCTCCAGAGGCGGATAGGCGGCCTCACTGGCCAGCGGACAGCCCGGCCGGTGAAGGGGGACGGAATGTGATTAGAAGAGCATGTGGAGAGACGCACGCGAAGGCAAGCGGGCGGAAACGCGAGCAGACGGACAGGCAGTAAGATACCCCGTGACGCATCTTGGTTCGATGAGCAGACACATGGAAAGCTGGAGAAGCTGATAATCGTGCACGCAGACCATCACATCGACGAGTTAACAATCCAATCTGTGGACGGCGGACCTATCATGGGAACAGACATCCGGTAATGAGGGCAACAACAACAGACAACTCTAAACGGTGTAAGGCTGATTGTACACTGGCCACGGTCGGCAGGGGTTCACAGGGAAGGTACGCTAGATGTTACATGTAAGCTTCCTGTAAACTCGGTCCCCGAAACTAACACGGCGAAAGTTTCTTTATTATCAGGGTCGAGCCGCAGACGTTCGTTCTGTCCACTACACCAGGATCTAACCTACGACGTCGCATTTCTCCCCCCCCCCCCCCCCCCCCCCCGGCCTTCCCGCCTCCAAGACCCGGACGCGACGAAGCTATCCTCGGCCGGCGGCTGTCATGTCCGCCCTCGCCACTGGCCTCCGCTGAAGAGGACAGGCGGTTGGCCGCACCCCCCTCCCCCCCCCCCTTCCCTCTCGCCCCGGCGCGGCGTCGTTACCGGGGTGGAGTGCCACGGCGCTGGCTGCCCCGCTCGCCGCCGGGCGCTGACGGCTCTCTATGTAGATGAGCGGCCAGCTACAGTAATTGACCCGCAGACGCCGAGTACGGTTTCTTGTAAGTGTGGCGTCGGGCCGGGCAGCCGCCATAGATAACCGGACACTTGTCGGCGGACAACGCGATGCCCAGCCCATGGGCGGCGACCGCTCGGCCCACCTCGCCCCTCTGTTTTCGCCAGGACGTGCTCTAAATGGCCTCCCTCTCTCTCTCTCTCTATCCTCTCTCTCTCTCGTCTCCTCTCTCTCTCTCTCTCTCTCCTCCTCTTCTCTCTCTCTCTCTCTCTCTCTCGTCTCTCCTTCTCTCATCTCCAGACTCTATCTCTCTCTCTCTCTCTCTCCACTCCGTCTCTCTCCTCTCTCTCGTTCCTTCTCTCCTCTCTCATCTCATCATCTCCTCCTCTCATCTCTCTCTCTCTCTCTCTCTCTCCTCTCTCTCTCTCTCTCTCTCCCCGTTGCGGCACAGTACCGGGGCGCAGCGGGCGCCCAGGAGACCGCAGTGGTTGTTGGCCAGCGGCGTGCCTGTCATACCCGCCCCGCGACCGGCCACGCCAAAGCCGGCTTTATGTCCTCATAAAAAATGGCTCGGACTCCAAACTGAGCATCGCTTCCGGCAATCGCTGGATTCCGGGCACGCCAAGATCGTCGCAATCGGTGATGACGGCGTGATGTCTCTACCGGTCAGCTGGCCTTTGTGCCCCGCGTCTCAGGACTGGGCACGCTCCCCGCCGCGACAGATGGAGGTCCCATTAAACGCGTGGCGTTTCGCGTGCCTGCCCGACGTAATCGCGAACTGCTGAGCAATGACGCGCAGGCGTTGTAAATACGGCGGGCGCGGCGGTGCACGTCGGGTCGCGGCAGGGATCGGCCGAGCTCCGGGCTCACTGGCCAGACGCCTCAAGGCCAAACATACACACACGTGTAAGGGATCGACCCCGCCCGCGAGCCAGGCGCGGTCTGAGCGGACAGCCGCGGCGTGGCAGAGATCATGTTCAGCCGCGGACCCGGCGTCGTCGCAGCCATGAGGAGCGGTGACGTCACATGGGGACGTGAAGACTGGCAGCGGTGAGTCGGTGATGTCATCGGCTCCTCCGGTTGGCAAGACGCGAGCAGTCACGACTACCCTAGCACAGAGGCTGCAGCTCCTTCCCTGAAATCAACAACTTTTCTCCATCCATAACGATATGGTTCCCTTACAGGCGACCACATCTCCTGTGAATGATCGCACCTCCTGTCGCCCGTGTTGACATGCGCCGTGGGGACTGCTGACTGGTGAGACCACGGGCCCGAGGCCGCCAGCTGGCCCGTGCGCTGTCGACAGCGCTGGTCGCCCGGTATTCGGGTCCGGCGCCGGCCGTGGAGGTCGGCTGTCTCTGTCAGACGCCTTGCGAACGGGCCAAGGTGTCCGCTGTCTCGTGCACAGGCGTTAGACATATCCGACTCCTTATCGCGGCGACAGCTGACGGATGTGCCCCGTTTCCCAACGCACATCCAGGTGGAACACGCCTCTACGACGCAAAGCGCGTGGACTTCTGAGCCTTCTATCTGAGCCAGAGCCGACGCCAGCGTGGGCTTCTGAGCCTTCTCGCTGAGCCAAGGCGGACGACCGCGTGGGCTTCTGAACCTTCTCTCTGAGCCAGAGCCGACGCCCAGCGGGGGTTCCCTACGTCCTCGTGGGGCATCTCGCACTTACAATCACGTCGCGTTTACATTTTAGTTATGTAAATGGCACAGATCGTCAACAAAAGAGCTGGTAAGCTGGTCAACGACCCTGCAGAGCTCAAGCGTTCGTGCACGGTTTTCAACAGGCTTACGAGGCCCCTCCCCACCGTCGAGAGTTCCCTGAACGAGCCATCGCACGGCCAGCGGTCTGGACCCGTTCTGCCGCGAGCGCGCGCGTCTCCAGCACCATATGGGGCGGATCGGTCGGCATCTGATTACCAATCGGGACTAATTCGGCGCAGGCCGGCGCCATCTCTGGAGCCCGGCGCGCAGCGCGCCAGCGGCTGGGGCGGTCACTGTCGCCGCGGCCAGTGCAGACATCCGGGAGCATCCCCCGCCCTACAGATCAGCGCTGCAACACCGCCGCCTGTTTTGGGACGCGACGGACCACATCTACACCATGCATGAACAACGGTAATGTAGGCGGCGGGCGCTTTTCGGGGCGCGCGGCTGAAGCAGCTCGAGGAATTTCAGCACTGAATGCTCGGGATGCCCCGTCGCTGCTACCGAAATGTTCGGTCGGACTGCCAGCACTCTTACGTTCAAGGATATCTGACCTACAAATAGTTGTGGTGTCTTCTGCTTTCAGGTCATCTACGAGCTAAGTTCTCAGCCGGTAATCCGCTTAGCGCTGACAAGCATTCAGAAAAGTCATGTAACGAAACCAGCGCGCGCCTCAAGTCTATCTCCCACACCACCAAAAAAACCGGCCGCATCCCTATGTTCCGGCGGTTTCAACAAGTTGAGAGGTCCCATGAAAGAAGCCCCATTTGTGACCTACACCCAACTCAAAAGATCAGGAGCGAAGTGAAAGGCATCTTAGTGGCAGTTAATCTTGGCTATTCGATGAGCCAGCAATCGGCCTAAAGGTCATAGAGCCTTAACCTATATGGGCACGTTTGTACAGTGGTATGTTCGGTTATGCCACGCTTCTGTTGCACATAAGGTGAGGGCCAGGCAATGGTGGAATATTCACAGACATAACAAAAGCATTACCAAGGATTTCAAACTTGGTCGACTGACAGTCGGCGGACAGTCGATTGACAGTCGGCGGACAGCCGGAGGCTTCGTCGAGTGACAGTCGGCGGACAACCGGAGGCTTCGTCGAGTGACAGTCGGCGGACAACCGGAGGCTTCGTCGAGTGACAGTCGGCGGACAACCGGAGGCTTCGTCGAGTGACAGTCGGCGGACAACCGGAGGCTTCGTCGAGTGACAGTCGGCGGACAACCGGAGGCTTCGTCGAGTGACAGTCGGCGGACAACCGGAGGCTTCGTCGAGTGACAGTCGGCGGACAACCGGAGGCTTCGTCGAGTGACAGTCGGCGGGACAAACCGGAGGCTTCGTCGAGTGACAGTCGGCGGACAAACCGGAGGCTTCGTCGAGTGACAGTCGGCGGACAGTCGGCGGACAACCGGAGGCTTCGTCGACTGACAGTCGGCGGACAACCGGAGGCTTCGTCGAGTGACAGTCGGCGGACAACCGGAGGCTTCGTCGACTGACAGTCGGCGGACAACCGGAGGCTGGCCACCAAAGAACGACCGCCGCTGGGCGACAGTCGCGTGGCCATGCTGTGTCTGTCGCACTGGACAGCGGACGGCCCCTCCCCCGGCAGGAGTCACGTGACCGACCGGGCTGCCGCCGGCGGCCTCATCTGATAAGGTCTAAACTTGCCGTTCGTTACGCCGCGGGGTGCACCCTGCGCGCGAGGGGCTCGAGGCGGCCGCTCTATGTCGCAGGAGGCGGGCTGGGGTGGGGTTACCTGGAGCGAGTCCTCAAATGAGAGGTGACGGGCGGGCACCGCCACGCTTGACGCGAAACCACAGCGAGACAGCAGGAGCGACCGTGGCAGTGGTGCTGATGGTGATATTACAGACGGCAGGCGGCGTCGCT